CGACCAATCTATTAGCTCTACCGTCAGTTTATACCTGTAGTTTCAACGTAGTATGGGGAAAAATCAGGTGGAGAGTTTTATTATTTTTTTAACATATGCCCTTTGTGGATATGAGGTGTTAATGAGAATCACACAAACCGATGTGCAACCATGGTTAAACGAGGCTGTAGTACTATTAACAAATGGTGTCAGTACTATGCTGACTGATCTCTGTGACTCAACAAAACTGTGCTCAGTTTCTAAATTTGGATGGCCCACCAATCTTTGAACTTTGGACCAAAGATCATTTGTAACAGACCAATAGGGTTTCAGCTTCCTGTTGAACAATTTATTGCACTGCCAGTTAAGATTTCAATTCTGTGTGGTCACTGTCGTGTCATGTGCAAATATTGTTCTTTTCTAAATCCATTGAAAACCGCAAAGAATCATGTATGACTGTACAACTTTTAAAAAAGGTTAACACTCGTACTAATTACTGACAAAATGTACAGGTTGGCATGTGTGGCTGAGTACTTCTGGTTTACACCATTGTTTGACAACATGTAAGTTAAAGCTACATACAATATAGTCTTCATTAACAATGCAGCACTTGTTTCCAAATAAAGTGTAGTTTTGGTTGGTTGAGGATGAATAAGTTTATGTTGATACTAGTGTCAAGGTCATACCTTGAAGCTGAGATGGCGCTCCACTCTTCATCTCCAAGTGTGTCATCTGCAATGTTTTCTTTTGATACCAAAGCTTCTTTAACTCCCTTGAGTTCTTCTAAGTGGAGTGATGTCCCAGTATCAATTGCTCCTAAAGATATCAAAATTTTCCCTGAGATGACAGGGAATCCCAATATTACAAAACCACATATCCCCGAAATAACCTGGGACCCCTGTGTTAGAACACATACCCACATTGTCCATGAAGTGACAGGGGACTTCTTTATTACAGTACATACCCCCATTGTCCCTGAGTTGGCTGGGTTCCCTGTGTTAAACATACCCACATGGTCCCTGATTTGGCTGGGTTCCCTGTGTTAAACATACCCACATTGTCCCTTAGTTGGCTGGGGGCCCCTGTGTTATACACACCAACATTGTCCCTGAGTTGGCTTGGGGCCCCTGTGCTATACACACCCACATTGTCACTGGGGTGGCTGGGGTCCCCTGTGCTATACATGCCCACATTTTCCCTGGGGTGGCTGGGGTCCTCTGTGCTATACATACCCATATTGTACCTGAGGTGGCTGGGGTCCCCTGAGTTATACAGACTTACATTGTCCCTGAGTTGGCTGGGGGTCCATGTGAAATACATACCCACATAATCCCAAAATGGCAGGGGGCCCCTGTGTGATACACTCCCACATTGTCCCTCAGATACAAAACCACATATCCCCGAAATAACCTGGGACCCCTGTGTTAGAACACATACCCACATTGTCCATGAAGTGACAGGGGACTTCTTTATTACAGTACATACCCCCATTGTCCCTGAGTTGGCTGGGGGCCCCTGAGTTATACATACCCCCATTGTCCCTGAGTTGGATGGGGGCCCCTGTGTTAAACATACCCAAATTGTCCCTGAGTTGGCTGGGTTCCCTGTGTTAAACATACCCACATGGTCCCTGATTTGGCTGGGTTCCCTGTGTTAAACATACCCACATTGTCCCTGAGTTGGCTGGGGGCCCCTGTGTTATACACACCAACATTGTCCCTGAGTTGGCTTGGGGCCCCTGTGCTATACACATCCACATTGTCCCTGGGGTGGCTGGGGTCCCCTGTGCTATACATACCCACATTTTCCCTGGGGTGGCTGGGGTCCTCTGTGCTATACATACCCAAATTGTACCTGAGGTGGCTAGGGTCCCCTGAGTTATACAGACTTACATTGTCCCTGAGTTGGCTGGGGGTCCATGTGAAATACATACCCACATAATCCCAAAATGGCAGGGGGCCCCTGTGTGATACACTCCCACATTGTCCCTCAGAGGGTCCCCTGAGTTATACAGACTTACATTGTCCCTGAGTTGGCTGGGGGTCCATGTGAAATACATACCCACATAATCCCAAAATGGCAGGGGGCCCCTGTGTGATACACTCCCACATTGTCCCTCAGTTGCCTGGGGGCCCTTGTGTTATACACACCAACATTGTCCCTGAGGTGGCTGGGGGCTCTTGTGCTATATATACCCACATTGTCCCTGAGTTGGCTGGAGGCCCCTGTGTTATACACACCAACATTGTCCCTGAGTTGGCTTGGGGCCCCTGTGCTATACACACCCACATTGTCCCTGGGGTGGCTGGCATTGATGTGACTATCAAAATTGTAGTTCTGGGTCAGTTTTACTTTCATGCGCTGGAAGTTTTCTTGGTTAGACAGTTTCCAGTGGACCACTTGTTGATGTCTGGCAAAAACAGGGGCGCGCAACAAATGTTTTATAAGTTAGAGATGTCTACCCATTCACATGACTTTCTAGAATATAAAGTTACCTCACTAAGAAAAATATTTGTATCAAGAGCAACTTAAAATGTAAATATTCAACCAAGACCAGCAGTCCCAAAATATTTGCACAGCAGATATACTTTATAAAAGTGGCTCCTCAGTCCAAAAAGGTAGCAGACCATGACTGAGACCATTCAAACAATGTGACTTAAAATGTAAATATTCAACCAAGACCAGCAGTCCCAAAATATTTGCACAGCAGATATACTTTATAAAAGTGGCTCCTCAGTCCAAAAAGGTAGCAGACCATGACTGAGACCATTCAAACAATGTGTGTCACTAGACCAGACTAAGTGACTTACTTGTCCTTCCAAGCCCCTCTTTTGCCATTGAAGAATCTCTTCGTGGCCCTCCACTGTCTCAGTGAAAACAGGTGCTGATTTTTTTGCTGTGCCATCACCTTCTGGAACCTTCTGTTCTCGTGGTCTACTTTCTTACAATACTCAGTCTCTATCTGGTTCTGTGGTCAAACATATGCATCATATGACCACAGATAGAATCGGTTCTTTACTTTAATATTTTAAACAAAAATAAACCTTGAATACTCATTCAGTGCTTTAAAAGTCATCAACTTAAAATAGCAGTGCCATTGTTCCATTCCCACATCCAACCGGTGGTGGCAACAATTGTTCCATTCCCACATCATACCAGTGGTGGCACATCCAACCAGTGGTGGCAACAATTGTTCCATTCCCACATCCAACCAGTGGTAGCAACAATTGTTCCATTCCAACATCCAACCAGTGGTGGCAACTATTGTTCCATTCCCACATCCAACCAGTGGTGGCAACAATTGTTCCATTCCAACCTCCAAACAGTGGTGGCAACAATTGTTCCATTCCAACATCCAACCAGTAGTGGCAACAATTGTTCCATTCCAACATCCAACCAGTAGCCAAGGGAAAAAAAAAATCTCTCCCATGTTCATATTGCAATTTGTTATTTTGGACCATTTGTCTGTTTGATTTCTGTCCATATTCTCTTTGATTATTTTATGTAAAATGTAAAAAAAAACAACAGTTTTCCTTTCTTTGTGTCAATGCTAGTTGATACTTGCAGTTGATATTTTCAGTTGTTATGTCAATCAACATTTGTTTGGTTTTCAATAAATATCATTATTTGACATAATAATGATCATCCGCTAAAGCAATGTCTCCCTGTGTGAGGGTATATGCTCCAA